CTCAGCGGCAAAAGCGCCTGCCTTGCAAGCGCAAGGTCGTGAGTTCGGTTCCTGGTACCGGAGAAAAACCAAAAAAAAAAAAAAAAAAAAAAGCTTAAAGGACCAGGAAAGCATTCAAAGGTAATTAGCTCCCCAGGAACAAAATGTCAATGACTAGTGGTAAACCTGATTTTATTTCATTCATTCTTTTTCTTCTATCTTTTCTCCCATTCTTAGCACTTCCTATAATATGGGCCACTGGAGAGGCACCCTACAAATATTTTGTTAAGGTGAATACCTGTGATGATTGTTGGCTCCTTATGCTGATGGAGTGGCATCAATATATTTTTCCATTGCCATGTATTTTCCATCCTTGTCATGGAAGACTAGAAGGCTAGGGGTGCGGTGTCAGATATAGGTATTATCAGAAGAGAAACCTCAAGGATCAACAGTAATGCCCAGCCCAAGAGTAGGTTGTAGAGTTCCTTAAAATGGAGAGTAAGGTAAGGCATGTGGTACCTATAATACAACTAAACTGAAGCAAAATCCCGGAAGCTATAGTTCCCACAAAAGCAAGAATCAGAACATAACCAGAATCCAGAAACAAAGCTAAGCAGGCAACAAAATGCAGATCAAGTGAAAAGGGGTCAGAAGACAATAAGCAAGTCATCATGTGCATGCTGTGGACAAGACTGTTGGAATCGTGGTCAATATTGGTGCTAGACATGAATGTGTGGATAGAAGGGAGATAGAAGGTCAGAAGGGAGAGTAAAGATGGAGGGTACCCTCTGGAGGACCACTAGGGCAGCTCTCCTTGAAAGAAGAGCAATTATTTCCATTTTGGCTCAACCTGGCTCTATTTCTGTGTATTGATATGTACAGAGCTGGCTAAGATTTGGCTTTATCCCTTCAATTGGCTGTAAGTGATGCAAATGGGTCTATCCAAGGTGCTGATGTGTAGTCTTTAAAGCAATAGGACAGGGAAGTAATGCTCCACCTATAGCTCCCACCTATAGTACATGTGAGCCAGGCCGAGTGATGCTCACTGTCAGCTGAGATTGAGCTTTGAGAAAGAAGTGGTGACATCTCAGGGGATTGTGATTATGCCTCAAAACAGAAGCACCAATCCCAAAACACTAGATACTGCTCTAACCTGTGATTTAAAGATTACTTTTTCTGCATAGCCTTCTCTCTGCATATTACAGAGGTGACTGAGGCCTGCTACCTAGGCCAGCTCACAGCACTCATCTACTTCCCACCTTTCTCTCAGTCACTCATCCCCAAGCCACTCCCTTCTTCATGAATTATTAAAACCTGGGTTCAGTCCTGAGTCAAGGCCTTTGTTCCTGTTAGCCATTACTCTGACTGGACTTAGGACCCCCTTGGCCTCCCACCATTTTAGATATATGTTTGTATCTTTATTTGCACTATGGGTTGCACTGGAAGTGGTAGATTGGAATTAACTCACTAGAACTCCAATAACTTTCCCCTGGGATTACAAATACAAATTTGACTGAACTGTAACAAGGTCCTGGAACCTCACAGTAAAGCCTAGCTGAAGTCCATCTTTGTCATGTAATGTTTCCCTAATTCTTCAAAATTCTGATTACTTCATTTTCTGGCCGTCTTTCCAGTCTTCTGGTTAGCCTCTGTTTTTATGCTGTGTGAAATCATTCATCTGGTTAAACTGGAAACCAACAGTCCTCTTGGATAATGAAGTCTTCATTCATAAATGCCATCCCACTCCACTTTCATCTGGTACCTACAGAAAAGATGGCTTTTGTTAGAGCAAGCTCAGGAGGGAGGGAAGATGGAGGTGGGCACAATGTCTGACCTAATCTCATCCATTTGACTGGATTTCTACAGGAGATACAGTCACTCTGGGTTGAATAAATGCAAAATCAGTTTATATGAAAACTCTGGAGAGGCCAGACATCTAAGTTACAGCAATTTTACATTCAAAACAAAAGTCCTGCAGGTGTGTATTGTCTACATTCTGTGTCAGGGGGTTGTGGTTGAGTTGAACACAATAATTGTTGCAGATGATGACTGGTTTGTAGCATAACAAACTTGACAATTCAATTTTCCCGGCAATCTTTATGGAACTACTACTACCCCATTTAGAAGCTTTAATGGCTTGCTTGCTGCCTACAAGATTAATTCTAGGTCCCAAGGCTGTTGTCAAAGCCCTTCACTCAGGACTTTAAACTGGCTGGGTGTGTCTCAGGACTTGGGGGGCTGAGACATGAGGATCACTGCAAAGTTGAAGGCCAGCTGGGACTACATAGTGAACTCAAGGCCAGCCTGAACTGCATGGCAAAACTGTCTCCAAAAACAAAAACAAACAGAAAAAGGCCCTAAACTTTATGTTCTGCCTTGGCACCTAAGATTTCACTAAAAGAGGCATCACAACTGCTGTCCCTAAAAGCATGCCTTATACATTTCTAATTCTCTCTTTAGTCCCTCTAGTCCTCTCTAAGTCCCTCTTTAGTCAGGCCATCTAACAGTATATGCTCATCAGACACTTCTGAGCCCTGGCCACATGAGACCTCTCACCTGCTACTTCATATACAGCATCTCCCAGTGATCCCTGCAGAACCCTGTGATGTGGGAACTAGAGTAAGCTTCAAGACAGTGGGGTAACTGAGGCTTGGGCTGGGCATATTCTCAGTTGTTCTTGTACGAGGGGTATAATACTGCTTTGCCGGCAGTATTCCCACAGAGGCTTGCCACATCCATGCTGCTAATAATATCCTAGGCCCCAATATTTCCACTTGCTACAGGTCCCTCGCCCCTTTGCTCTCTACTGTCTCTAGAGTGGGAAAGAGAAAAATAATAGGATCTGGCATTCATAACACCAGCTACTACTGATAAGTCTTCTACACCCTCATTATTTCCCTGCTTTTCACAAAGTACTTCCTTAATGGCCACACCTGAGGGGCGGAGCTTGTTGCCCTGAGTAGCTGGCCAGACAGAGGTGTAGACAGGATTTTGATCTCGGTCAGGTTGCAGACTGGGCTCTCAGAGATCAGATACAAGAAACTGAAAGATTTATCAGGTGGACCCCAGTGGGAGGGACTGAATAACTTGGCTTCAATAGGTCCACAGAGAAGACCCCAGGAAGGGCTCTTGGTCATGCCTGGTGCCCCTTGGTTTAGCACAACAGTCTCATTCAGAAAATATCCTGCACTCACTTTTTGGCACAAGCAAGGCACCTGAGGGCTCCCATTTCCACTCTAGCTTGTTCTCAGTGGTTGCAGATGGCAGTGTGGATGGCTGACTTTTTGTCTAGACAGAAAGTACTCCCTGCAGCTCATGTCATCTCTCAGGGGCTGTCAGGCCACCTCCACCTCCTCACTGCCTCCTCCTCGCTGTTCTGTATTCTCCTCACTGCTTCATCCTGTGGAAATGAACACATCAAAGCCATATGGAGTCATTCTTTCTGGGTGCTTGTGTCCTTTCTCTCTTCTCCTTTTCCTGGAACATTAATATTAATAGCTTGTTTCTTCTCAGTTGCTTTCTTCTCCATCCTCAAGGGAGAGGAACCTTTTCTTGGTTTCCATGCCAGACGGCACACTTGTTTGAAGGCTGCCGGGGCTGCCAGGACGATGACGTCTCTGGTGTAATCCTGGGCTGTGCAGTGCAGGCATGTGATGCCACTCCACTGCCAACTCAGCTGGGCTGCATATTCTTCTGAACAGTGGACCTTTTGGAGGTGGGGGACAGCCATAGGCGGGCAATGTAACAAAAGCCCACTGAAGCCATGGCCAATTAATAATCAGTGGTTTGGGAGCCAGGCTGTGTGCTCAGAATTTCTGCATGGCTCATCTCCTCTCAGCAGCACAGTTCTGCCAGGTTAATGTGTGTATCTTCCTTTTACAGACAGGGAAACTAAGGCCCAGACTGTCAGCCACTTGTCTAATAGCTGGCAAGTTTGAGGAGAGAAAATCAAATCCCCTAAGTAACTCCAAGGCCCATATTGTGTACATTTACCACCAACTATTTCCTCTCCTGTACCCTCTATTCAGGCTGACTTGGCAGAAAGTGGAGACAGAAAGAAAGGCTGCTTTTGTGCTCCTCAGTAGGGCCCCTCCTTGGAGGAGAAGGCTGGCTTTGCAGGAGCCAGCCTTTGTGTCACTGTGTCCTCCTCCTCCACACCCACTCTGGCAGCCCTAGTGCCATTCCCAAGATCCAGAAAAGCTCTGGCATGGAGAGCTGAGACATCCAAGGCTTGTGGCCAGGTATGTGGCTGCCAGCCCTCAGGGAAGCCCCCTCTGTGTATTCAGCTCCTGTCCATAAACCAGGCTCAGACGTGTATTCAGAATCACCAGAGATGAACCAGGTTCACTGCGCTGGATTCTGCAATGGCACTGGGTTTGCTGGATGGGGTGAAAGTGCTTTGATTCCATGGAGACAACAGATGTGAAAGTGGTGGAGATACCACTTCTGACTTAAAAAAAAAATTAATGGGTCACTGGAATAATGAACAGATGAACTGGCCCATATATCTAGTGACTATTGCAGTTGAGAAGGGTTTGTGTGGCATGGCTTTGGTGGGCTTCCCCCAACCCACCTGTTATAGTTTGCATCGAGATGTCACCCCCAAAGCCTCATACAGTCATAGGGTGGGCCTCTAGAGTTTATGGTTCAGTCATGGTCCAATGCTGGGATTATGGGTGTGAGTGTCACACCCACCTTGGGGTGGGTCACCTACATACAGTATAAGGGAGGGAAGGGGGCTTGCTCTCTGTTTTTCCTCCATTTTGCTCTTGTTGCTTCTGCTATCTTCTGCTGCCATGAACTGTTGCCCTTTGCCATGTGCCACTCTGCCTTGGAGCCAGCTGATTATGGACTGAAACCTCTACAAACTGTGAGCTAAATAAACCTTTCCTTCCTTAATTCTGGGTGTCAGGTATTTTGTCTCAGCAATGCGAGAAAAGTAACCAAGACACCACCCATGAGTAACTCTTTCCTATTCTGTCAACTCTGATTGCAGCAGCTCTATTTGTGATCTTCAAGCACATTCAGTTTCCTTGACTGAGGACTGTCCAGTCTATATCATTTGGTTCATTTCTACATGCATTTTAGGACTCATCACACCTGTCATGTTAAATGAGGTTCCTCATCCTGAGCAGCCCCTCAAGCAGTAATTTATATAAAATGCCAGAGCTGAGAGGAGTATTTTCCTGCAAAGGATGAGATGATAAATATCCTCAACTCTGTGGGGCACAAGGATTTTGTCCTCAACTGTGCCCTTACAGTGCAAACACAGCCATAGATGAATGACTCACCCATGAATGAATGGGTCTGGTTGTGTTCCAAGAAAACTTTATTGACAAAAACAAGTAGTGAGCCAGTGCTGGCTCCCACGGTATCACAGACATAGACATTCCAAAAAAACTTTGTATTCTTTAATTTTTGCTCCTCTTCTTTCATCTCTATTATAGAATGATCTCCAACTACCTTAGAATTATCACCAACTAGGCACATCAGAAAGGACAATATGGCCATACAGGTCTGATGCCTGCAGCAAGAAGTTATAGACAAGAGCCACTAGGAGGTGTAAAATGTTCTGGAAGCATCCTATCAGCATCCTAGCTATGGTAGGGGGAGAAATTGTGTACCCAGAACCCAGGTGTTAGGACTGCATCACCAACCCAAGCAAAGGGCAAAGCCAAGTAGCTGGAACATCAATGCTCCTCTGATCCAGCAGATCTGCCCCTCTGCACAGGTTGCTGAGGCATCCCCCTCCCAAAGAAAGACCACAAGTCCTACACATCAGTATGTAGTCTTGCCCTCATAATATCTCTCCAAGAATTTGCTGACAGTTTCTTTAGTAAAATGGAGTGAATATGTTGTGATTAGTCTCTTCCTTTCTTCTTCTGACTCCACTGTATAAAGGGCAAGCAAGTATTTCTTTACTCTGCTCAGAAGATCAGTCTCCTTAGGGTATTCATACATATGAGTCCCTTGGATATACCCTCTCCCTGCGTCTTATCTTTCTCTGTCACTGCACTTTCAAAGGTGCAATTAATTAGTGTTTTGCCTAGTTATATTTTGAGCATCTATTTCCTGATTACATCTTACATGAAAACAGAGCCTGTGCCTGTGTTTGCTGTGGCATACCAAGTTTTTTCCCTATTCATTCACTGAATGAATAAGCCAGGAATGCAATGAACTCCCTAAGAGCTGCTATGAGACATGGGGGCAGATGCCTACCTTTGGGCTGATTATGACTGATCTGGACACCATGCCTACCAGAGGCAGAAGCTTCTTCTAAAATGCTTCTTCTCTGCAGAGGTAATGGAAACAGTCCCACTGCTCCTTATGCTAGGAAAGGAGAAGAGAATAGGGGATCTGGGAGGGAGACATCTGCCCATTACACAGTCAGATTATTAATGTTCTGTGGCAAATAAGAAACCCAACACTATAAAAAAAAACTTCCTGCCAGACATTGCAAGTATGGTAGTCCAGATTCTAATTCCACTGCTCAGGAAAAGCTGTGTGAGTCCTACAGACAAAGAGCCAGGGCTGAGTTACAGTCTGCAAGGCCAACATATTTCTGAGGTCTCTCCAGGAACCCTAATGGGAAAATTCAAATGAGGCCACCTGCTTTACTACATGTCGAAAGGAGCCTCCCTACCCCCCACTTCCCCAGTGCAATTTATGCTCCTAACCTCACAGTGTGGGAAATAGAATTTTTCAATGGATTCTTTTTTCAAAGGTCACTCACTGTCTTTACCAAGCCACCAAGCTTTTTATTGAAAATGGATTTAGATAAGTTGGGGTCTGGTGTGTCAGGTCTTATTTTTTTTTTTTTCTTTTCAATTTTCTTTCTCCTTTCAGGAAGGCTCCCATTCTGGTATAGTCAGGCCCTGCCGAACAGAGCCAAACCTGGATATAATCATTTCCTCTGAGATGAATGCAGGCTAATGTGGAAGAAGTCACTGAAACTGAAATTTCAGAAAGCTACAAATCCAGAGCAAGGGTATTTTTATCAATGGTGCAGCCTCACAAGAGGCAGACCATTAAAATCTCCTGTGTATGTGTACACATGTGTGCACATGTGTATGTGTGCGTGACTGTATACACACACAAAAGTTCACACACATATGCATGTGTGCATATAAATTATATAAATACATATATAATTATACATACACATATAGTCTTTAGAGGGATGGTATACAGTAATTAGCAGAGAGAGAAGAATTACTAACATCTAATTGCAATGGAAAGTGAAGTCATTTTTAAAAACTGTCATAATTTAACTAAGAAAAATTAGCATTTGGATGCAGGGCTACCAGTTGATAATAATGTGACAAACAAACTGTTTCAGGAAAACTGGGGTGGCTTCTAAATCCGTACTCTCCACCACACCCAAATCAGCACCAGCAAACTTTTGCTCCACTGGGAAAAGCCATGTGATGTGTTGAATCTCTGCTTCTGCCTCATTCCACTCTGGTTCCTAGTCCCTCGAAGAATATCCAGCCATGGACATTGGCTTTAAGCTTTGACTTCTAGGGCGGTACCCAGGCATAGGATACAAGCATGGAACTGCCCCTTGCTTCCAGGCCTTCGCTATTGTATCCAGAGACTAGAGGTGACATAGCTGCTCAGTGTGATCATACAGCCCATGCAGAAGCCAGCTCTCCTCTTGACCCTCCCTAGGTAGGACTCCAGGTGAAAAATGGACTGCTCAATCAGTTCAACTTATTGGTGGTTTCTACTTTCTTTCATTTACCTGCTTATTTATTTGTAGCCCTAACTTGGCTTTTACAGAAAACTCACTAGGCCTAGGGGTTCTAAAATTTCTACCTTATTTTCTGTGTTCTGAAATATGCAACACTTCTCAGTCTTGCCCCAGAAAATGTAGACCTCCTGGTCCTCACAGGAAGAGTCTACTGCCACCCCTGCTAACAGGCTCAACCTCCTGCACTACACCTCCCGTTCTATCTGTTTCCTGAGGCCTCTATTCTCATCTTTCTACGTTCGCTTTCTCATATGTGTCTTATCAGTGGCTTCCAAAACCACACTCTATATAGCCCTCTGGGTTTTCCAGGGGATTTCTGGAAGAAGCTGGATATAGCCAAAAATGTTCCACCCATAGGTGTCTATGAGACGTCCTTCTGTGTTCTGCAGGATCACTAGGCTCTTGGCAGGGAGTTTGCTAGCTTTTACATTTACAGTACCTAATAGAGTGGGAAAAACTTAAATGACAGTTATGCAAATTATTAATTATTAGATCATTAAGTGATTAATTTAAAATTCTATTTCCTATTTTTTATCTGAAACTATAGGCTTGATTATGGTACCCTTACATCTCAACAAAGGGCAAAGAATTATCTTGAAGCAAAACATTTTATTACTTTTTCTATTTTAATTCTTTTTTAAGAGAAA